GGTGCTCGGTAAATGCAAATACACATCCCTTACCCCCCACCCAAACTTCTGTCCCACGCCACTGCTGTATCAGCCACCTCGTTCTGAACGTCACTCTGTACATACATCTCTGTGAGGTCAGAGAGGTGATGTTGTGCCCAAGGCCACACAGCAAAATACCCGGGTAGGGCCCCAATTCAAACCTGAACTTGCCCGACCTCAAAGCCCATGTTCTTTTGCCTGGTACACAGCAGGTGCTCAATAAATGATCATTCGGTTTCTCTTTCATTGCCTGGCCCAGAGCAGTAACTGGCCTGAGTCAGAAAGCAGAATGTATATAAATGGACCTGGCCTGGGCCTCTAGGAACACCCCTCCCCCATCCAGAAGCCTTCTCTCAACCCCCATAACACCCCTCGCCCCTCAGTCCACAGGAAACGTGTGGATGACGCACGAAGAGATGGAGTCCCTTACGGCCACGACCAAGCCTGTGAGTGACCCCTGCCGGCGGCTTTGGGAGTGGCACTAACTCTCCCTGGGGAGGGGTGGGGGGGGCGAGTCTCTGGCTGTTCCTCCGTCCGTTCGTCCCTCCCGCCCTCCTCCGCCTGCCCCTTAACCCACCCCTTCTCTTCCCTTTTCCCACTAACGGGTCAGGAGACCAAGGAGATCAGCTGGGAGCAGGTAGGGGGCGCGGGGCGGGACGTGGGCGCATGAACAGGTTGTGCACGCTGCATGCATGCCCCTCCTTCCCCAAGTGCCCTCCCCCCCCCGCGGGAGCGTTCCATCATCGCCGCGGGGGGCGCTGCGTGGAGCCGGGCTCTGGACCGTCTCACTGTGGCTTGGTGGGGGTCGGTGGAAAAGCCTGGACTAGTCCATTGTTAGTGTGGGGCTCGGGCCATTCCATTATCGTGGGGTTGCGGGGGCTGTTCCACTGCTGTAACTAGAGGGAGACCTTTTCTCTATGATTGAGGGGGAGTGGGACTGTTCCAGTGTACTGGGGCCAAGGGGGAAGCATACTGGGGAGGGGCCGCAGGTCCTGCTGAGAAGTCGGCCGGGAGGAGGAGCTACACTTTGTTCTCAAGAAGGGAGAGGCATGAACTCCCCTGAGGTAGATGAACTAGGTTGGACTAGGGTCTTGGTTTCCAGTTGGGGGCCGGTGTTGATTGTTTCCTTACGCTAAAGGGAGTGAAGGACTCTGGGCTGATCCAGAATATTGTTCTGGGCCAGATGTAGCATTAGACTGGTATTTTTGGACCGTGCAAGAGTGATGGATGGATCTGTTATCGTTTGTTGTGGGGAGAACTACACTGGAAGAATCCGTTGTCCTGACTTGGGGGAGAAGCGATGTTGGACTGACCCACTGTTCTGAGCTGGGACAATGCTAGACTAGTGCCTCTCACCCCTTACTGTTCCGGTGACCTAAGGATCTGGTGGGAATGCAGCTTCTGATTCCGTAGCCTAGGGTGGGGTCCTAGATCCTACAGTTCTGGAAGGTGCACAGGTGATGGTGATGCTGCGGGTCCAAGGGCCGCACTTTGAGTAGACAAGGGTCTCTTCTGTTATTATGAAGGAGTAGGAGACCCCTGGATTGGTCCGTTGTCCTGAGCAGAGATTGACTCATGTCCTAAGGTGGGGTGGAAAAAGAACCACCTTGGGTCAGGGGGTTGGAGTGAACCCTCTCATACATACACGGGAAGGGGTCAGAGGGTCTGACCCTTACCCCACCTGCCCATGGCCCCAGATCCTGGCATATGGTGACATGAACCACGAGTGGGTGGGGAACGACTGGCTACCCAGCCTGGGGCTGCCCCAATACCGCAGCTACTTCATGGAGTCGCTGGTGGACGCCCGCATGTTAGATCATCTTAACAAGAAGGAGCTCCGGGGCCAACTCAAGATGGTGGACAGCTTCCACAGGTGGGGGCTGCCTGGCCAGTGGGGACAGTCCAAGGGGAAGCCTCACTCCCAGAGAGTCTTTGGCCAATGGGACTGGTGATGGGAACGTCCTGGGACTATCTTTGGCCCTTTAGCCCGGATTCTCAGGAAATCCTGACTTCTGTGCCCCTTCCGCCAATGAGATGGCCCACTAGGCAAAGTCCAAATCCTCAGACGGCTTGGCTCGTTAACCCCATACCCTGTCCAGGTTATCCAATAGGAACTGCCTGTTGAAAATACCCCACATCCTGGGAAGGTCAGCAGTCCAGAAAACCGGCCCAGTGGGACAACTCCCCAACCTTTCCCAGAAGGACCACAGCCAGTGGGGAGGGGCGAAGCAGCAGCCATTGGGGTTGTGAAGGCTTTTCTGTGACCCCACTTTCCCCACTGTTCAGGGTGAGTCTGCATTATGGGATCATGTGCTTGAAACGGCTCAATTATGACCGGAAGGACTTGGAGCGGAGGCGGGAAGAGAGTCAGACCCAGATCCGAGGTGAGTAAGAGTAGAAGAGCCCCCCCCAACCCCTCAAGCCAGGTGGCTGAGGTTGGGGCTGGTGGGGAGGAGGAGCACCGAGCCTTTTGCGAGGGGGTGGAGCCAGCACAGGGGGCGTGGCCAGGAAAGGAAATGGCGGTGACCTGTGGGCTAAATTGGACCGACCGGCAGCTGAGTCCCTTCTGTCCCAGACGTGATGGTGTGGTCCAATGAGCGGGTCATGGGTTGGGTGTCCGGGCTGGGACTGAAGGAATTCGCTACGAACCTCACGGAGAGCGGGGTGCACGGGGCGCTGCTGGCCCTGGACGAGACCTTCGACTACTCCGACCTGGCCTTGCTCCTGCAGATCCCCACGCAGAATGCGCAGGTGAGCTGCGGCTCGGCCCGGGGCACACTGGGCACCGCCACCTCGCAGACTGCACGCTGCCACCCTTCTTCCACCTCTCGTCCCCAGGCCCGGCAGCTCCTGGAGAAGGAATTCAGCAACCTCATCTCCCTGGGCACAGACAGGCGGCTGGACGAGGTGGGCGCGGCCGCAGCCCTGGAGGCTCAGCTCCTAGCGGCACCTGCAGGGTCTGAGCTGAGGGAGTGGGGGCTTGACTTTGCGGGCAGGAGGCGGCTGGAGGCGGGACTAGGGCAGGGGCGGGGTTAAAGGCGAGCTGAAACCCGAGAGGGGTGGAGTCAAAGGAAGTGGCTGAGTCAGAACCCGGCCCCGGTCGCTCATCGTCGGCCCGGCCCCTATACCTAGGACAGCGCCAAGTCCTTCAGCCGCTCCCCATCCTGGCGGAAGATGTTTCGAGAGAAGGACCTCCGAGGCGTAACCCCCGACTCAGCTGAGATGTTGCCCCCCAACTTTCGTTCGGCCGCAGCGGGGGCCCTGGGATCTCCGGGGCTCCCTCTCCGCAAGCTGCAGCCCGAAGGTGGGCGGCACCCCGATGCGACAGCCCCTCCCCCCTTCCCCTTGCTCGGGGTGGGAAAGGGACCAACTGTACATTCCAGAAGCCTCCCTCCAGGTTCTGAAATGGCCTGGTCCTTTCTCCCCGACCCATGACGAATGGATTGCTCAGTATGCCAACTCCCTCTGGGTGTGGAATGGATTAATCCCGCACCCCCTTTCCGAAGTGGGAAATGAATTGGCCCACTGTCACCTGCGGCACCTTAGATGAATCCAAGGCTGCGGGAAGGGGAGGAAAGGAACCCGGCGTGGAGCCAAGCGTTCGTTGTCATTTCGGGAGGGGTACTCCAAGAGAGGGCGCTTGGGGTTGAAGATCAGAGAAACCCTGCCGTGTGTGTGTGTGTGTGTGTGTGTGTGTGTGTGTGTGTGTGTGACACGCGCGCACCAGACCAAACCACTGCTCGCTCTCCCTGTAGGCCAGACTTCTGGGAGCTCCCGGGCAGACGGCGTTTCGGTCCGGACCTACTCCTGCTAGTGTAGGCCTCCAGGTGAGGACTGTGCTGGGCGATCTTGGGGGTGCGGGGTGGCACAATGGATCTTCATTGCTCCACGTACTGCCCCGGCGTCAATGCAGGTGACCTCACTCGGATGGAAGAATCTTCCAGAGGCTGGGCTGTTCCCCCTCCTGCCCAGAGTATGGTCTCGCCGGGGAGAGCGGGCGGGGGAGCTCGCGCCGCGGACCGGACCATCTGTACAGACGAGCGGGGAGTGCGTGTCCCCGCCTCACAAAAGGACTGGGCCTGGACCAAACCACACGAACTGGACTGAGAGGGGGAACGAAGAGGGCAGGAAGAAATCCCGCCCCAAACTTCCACCTCCCTTTTCTCTACTTTGTAATTTATTGATCAGTTTCCGATGGGAGATGGGTGCCCTTTCCCCGCGGGAAGGGAGCGGGGCTTCCCTCCCGGGCCGCATGCTAGGAGAGGCTGCCCGCTCCCCTTTCTCCTCCCCAGTCGCGGGGCCCAAGTCTTCCTTCTTCGTCCGAAAGGAGGGGAGGGGGGACTCGCTGCTACAAGCCTCGCCCCATGTGCCACTCATCCCCGCCCCGCCGCGTCAGGTCGCCGGTGCCTGGGGTCAGCTGTGGGCGGAGTCCCCCCTTCCTCCCCAGTGTCTCGTGTCCCCGGGGCCTCTCGGCCCCCCGTGCTGTGGCCGTGTCCGTGCCCCGGGGGTAGGGGGTGCAGAACTGCGCTCCCGGTTCCCCTCCGGCTCCGGGGTTTGCATGGGAGAATCCTCTTTCCACGATGCTACTGGGCGACGTGGCGTGGGGGGAGGGAGGATGGTGGGGGAGCCCTCGCCCGAGACTCTTGGTCGGCCTCCCTGCCCCAGGTGTCACTCAGTGATCACGGGTAAAGAGAACTGTTTCAAAAAGCTCCCGTGTTGACTGATTTATTTGTCAGGACCTTAGCAAAACCGACCTCCTCAAGAACCTGGGAGGCCAGACCACTCCTCCCTCAGACCCATGAGTCCAAGTCCGCAGTCCCCACCCGCGCCTTCCCTGGTGCTCCGAGAATCCAGCCCCCACGCCTGACAGTGAGGTTTCGGGGAGCATGTTTATTCATAACGCAATTCAATAAATACGGCTCGTGGAAAGGGGTTGGAGGGCCAGGGAGGTGCGTCTGCGCCGCAGCCGCACCGCTGGGTCAGGGTTCCGGAGTTTCCAGCATGTCCGCCAGGGCTCTGGAGAGGACGCAGAGGTTAGTCAGCCCAAGTGCCCAAAGCTCACCCCAGGCGCTTAGATGGAGATGTTAACCTGCCCATTTTACCGACAGGGGAATGGAGTCCCAGGGTCGTCCAGTCACTCAGCGGGACCTCGCCTCTCTAAGGGCCCTTAAACTGCCCCCCTCCACACACTTACTGGTACAGGGAGGAGGAGAAATAGTCCATGTAGCTTCCTGTGGGAGAAAAGATAAGAGGCTTGAGCGGTACACCACAGGCGAAATTAGGGGGCCACTGATTCACCGAATCCGGAATCAGAACTAGCTCCGCCCCCCCTTTTTCTTAATTCCTTCCCTAAATTGAATTCCTTCTACTGGGACTCCTTTCAAGGTCCAGCGCCTCTCCTTGCTCCTGGTGTTCCCATTCTCCAGAAGCCCCTTTTCTTCCAGCTCTACCTGCTTTGGCCCCGCCCGTTCGTTTCTAGACCCACCCTTCAACCTTCCACCCCTTGCCTACTAAGTAGGCTTCAGCTCTAGCCCCACCGCTCCCTCGGTCCAGGCCCCGCCCCTCCGCGCGCGCCCCGCCCCACCCGCCGACTCCCCGCCTTGGCCATGCCTCCGCGCCTAGCCACGCCCCACAACCTCCCGGGCCCGCCTGTCGGCTTTGGCTCCGCCTCCACGGAGTTTGCCCGGCTGGGCTCCGCCCACTCTCACCTGGAGTGCAGACAGTTTCGCAGACCAGCGGGCAGAGGTAGCAGAACTGGCAGTGCTGGGGGCGGGGATGGGGAGAGACAGAAGTATAAGACATGGTCGGGGCGGAGCCGGGATGGGGGCGGGTGCCGGACGGGGGCCCGAGTCGTAGGTTAAGGTCAGAGGCGGGATCGAGAGGGTGGAGTCAAGGCTGCACCAGGGATGGAGGCTTGGGTCAGTCTGAGGGCAGAGGCCAGGATTTGGGACTTGGGTGCCTAGAGGGCCCCCGGCCATCCTGGGGCCTGGTGGAACCTGGGTCCGGGGAAAGTGTCACCTGGCACTGGTCGCAGTGCTCCCCCATGTTATCCTCGTCGCAGTGACAGTTCTCACATTCAGTGCATCTCTGGGAACAGGAGGATTCTGGTTTGGGGACACCGTTTGGGAGCCACCCGCCAGTCCTCCACCCTGCCCCCTGGACATTTCCCCAACTCCCCACGCTCATTACCTCCCACACTGAGCTCAGCAGCTTCCCCCTTGTTCCCCTCTTGCAAGGTGACACCACATCCCCCTGTCACTGTGGGCTGGGCCTGTGGGTGTTCTCTTCATGCCTTCTCCCTATTCTCCCCACAACCTGCCAGGCCCCAGCCCCATTCCACCTGCCCCCTCTGCCGGACCCTCCCCTCCAACCCCATATCTGTAGGTACGGCTCAGGCCTCACTCCCTCCTGGACCATTGCCCCAGCCTCCTCCCCAGCTTCCTGGCCTCCAGTCTGCCCCCTACATGGCCCTGGAAGTGCCTCTCTTCACCTGGCACTGCCCCTGCCCCTCCTTTGCTCAGAGCTGTCCCCAGGCACCTTAGAGCCCCAGGACAAACTCCAGGGACAGCCTGGAGAATGGACCTGGGCTGGGCACTTACATTGCAGAAAGAGCAGTAGCCACACAGGGACCCAGGCTGGTAGTTCCCGTACTCCCGGGCACCCTGCAGATCTGTGCGGACAGGAGAGCAGCAGTGAAGCAGCTTGACTCTGCTCCTCCCTGCCCCCACCTGGCCAGGTCACTTACCCGTGTCCTCGCCACTCTGCTCCTCACTGGAGCCACCTCCAGCCACCTCCCTCCTGGCCAGTGGGTTAGGGATGATGGTGAAGGGGAGCTCCTCTTCCTCCAGCCCCTCCTCCTCCTCCTCCTCCTCTTCCCCCTCCTGGTGGTCTTGGCTCAGTGGCGCGTGAACCTCAGCCCTCCCTTCCCTCTTCTCTTCCTCTTCTTCTCCCTCCTCCTCCTCGTGGCTCACGCTGAGGCCGTGACCTTCCTCGTCATCGTCTTCATCCTTCCGGTCCAGGCTGCCATGGCGGGTGCCTTCTTCTCCCCGTTCTGAACTTTCATCGTCTTCTTCCTGGGAACTCTGGTCCACCTCCTTCTCCTCTTCCTCCTCAGAATCTCTCTCCCTCAAATGGCTTCTATCCTTGACCTCCATGTGTTCTGGAGGCTGGTGGCTGATCTCATCTTCCAGGGACCCTCTGTGGCCAGTCCCTTCATCTTGGTGGCCTTGTTGCCTGTGGCTGGGAGCCTGGTGGCCAAGCTTGTCAGAGATGTCCTCATCTTCATCCTTGGGGCCTCCGTAGTGGTGATGGTCAGGGACTGCTGACTTATATTCATCTGGAAAGTCCTCCTCCTCAGTGCTCTTGGGGCCTGGGTGTTGGGAGCTTGCAACATGGTGGCTGAACTTGACTGTGATCTCCTCTTCCTCTTCGTCCTCATCTCCAAGGCTGTGAGTATGTCTGGGAATCTGGTGCCAGTGTTCAGTGGACACATCCTCATCCTCATCTTCTTCGTCTCCATAACCTAGGTGTCCGTGACTGGGGGTATGATGATGGTGTTCATCTGATACATCTTCATCCTCTTCCCTCCTGTGGCCTTGGTGCCTGTGGACCTGGTGTCCAGACTCAGTGGACATATCCTCTTCCTCATCTTCTCTGTGGCCTCGGTGTTCAGGATTGGGGCTATGATGATGGTGTTCATCTGAGATGTCCTCATCCTCTTCTTTCCCGTGGCCTTGGTGCCTGTGGGCGTGGTGTCCATACTCAGTGGAGACAACATCATCATCATCATCATCATCATCATCACCTTCTTCTTCTCCGTGGCCTCGGTGTCCGTGGCTGGGGACATGATGGGGATATTCATCTGAGGCATCTTCATCCTCTTCCCTCCCGTGGCCTCGGCGCCTGTGGGCGTGGTGTCCATACTCAGTGGAGACAACATCATCATCAACATCATCATCACCTTCTTCTTCTCCGTGGCCTCGGTGTCCGTGGCTGGGGACATGATGGGGATATTCATCTGAGCCATCTTCATCCTCTTCCCTTCCGTGGCCTCGATGCCTGTGGGCGTGGTGTCCATACTCAGTGGAGACCACCCCTTCCTCTTCATCTTCATCGTCCTCTTCTCTGTGGCCTCCAGGCACATGCCTGATGCTATGATGGCGATACTTGCTGGACTCAACTTCATCCTCATCCTTGTCCTGATGGCTGTGGCTTCTGTGGCTGGGGAAGTGGTGCCCGTGCTCATCTGAATCATCCACATCTTCGTTCCCATGGCCTCTGGACCCACAGGCCTGCCGAGCATGCTCTGTGAAGACCTCTTCATCAGGGATATTCTCTTCTCTGACCTCGTGGTCTTGGTACCTGTGGTCTCGGAGCCCATGACTGTATTCCCTGGAGACATCCTCATTCTCATCTCTGTGGCCTCGGTGGCTGTGCCTGGGGTCGCCAAACTCATCTGGCACATCCTCTGAGGGCCCCACGACTCCCGCATTGTTGTTCCAGTTGCTGGGGCCCGGCCCGGCCCCTCTCAGCTGCTGGGTCATGGCCGGGGGGAAGAGCAGGCTGACCATGGCAGCCCAGAGGAGAGAAGCGTGCAGCCATGGCCCACGGTGGCCCATGGGGACAGACAGGCAGCAGAGCCTCTCCCAGGGCCGGCTCCAGCCGGATGAGTGTTGGGGTCCTTGCCCCTTTTTGGGTCCTTCTGGTTCTTTCTGCCTGTGTTGTTCCCTTGCTGTGCTCCCCACTGCCTCTGCCTGGCTGCCTTCCTCCGGGCCTCACTGCTGGACACCCCTCTGAGGCAGTCTCAGGAGCCCCCTCACCCCCCCGGCCCTCCCTCCCCACCTCCCAGCCAATAGGGTCTCTCTCCTCCCCTCTCTGCAGCTAAATTTACTTTCAGCCCTGAGTTATTCTGGGTCAGTCCCCGCCTGCCCCTCCCCTCCTGTTCCTCCTCCCCACTGGGGAAGGGGTAGGTGAAGGGGTCTCAACTTGGCCAGGAGTGGGGGCCAAGGGCTTGACTTGGTACTGCCAACAGGTTCATGTTTGGCAGCTGCAAAGATAATGGCTAGACTTTTAGTGGGTCAAGTTGGGGGGTGCCTAAGGCAACTGTGGGGGCTGGAAGGAGCCATTCGGGAGGAGAGACCCCTGCCATGGAAGGACTGGGGACTGGATTCTGGGGAGTTTCTGCCCAGAAGGGGAGCCTTTGCTGAGAGAGTGGATGACAGTATGGAGGCCCTGGACAGGGGTGGAAGGAACTCGCTCCAGCACACGCACCTATGACCTCCTGTCCCTGGAACTCGGAGCCAAGGGCAGAAGACCAGGCCAGGCCAGGGCTATAAATACAGCGAGGGGGGTGGGGGGCTCAGGTTACCCAGCTAGGCCGCAGCTGTCCCTGTCAGAGCTGCAGGAGACACGTGGTCCTGCCTGTCTGTGGGTCACTGTCTCCCACTCCTCACCCTGTCACTATCGCCCTGGCCCTTTGGGTCCCCAGCCCTCTTTATGGGTGTCCCTCTCTCATTTCTGTCACCCACTGTTCCCCAACCACAGGATTCTACTATCTTCCTGTCACTCTGAGCATCTGCTCTCCACCCAATTCTTTCTCTCTCTCTCTCTCTCTGAGTCAGTGTAGCCCCTGAATCTCTGTTCACCCCCTTTCTGATTCTCTGCCCCCTACCTAAGTTTTTGTGCCAACCCTCCCCCCCTCCAATGGATTAATGTACCCTCTCCCTATCTCTGGCATTCCATCTTGGGTCTCTGTCCCCCTCTCTCTGGATCTCTGTTTCTCTCTCTCTCTGGTCTCTGACTTCCCGTTTCTGGACCTCTGTCCCCCTCTGGGTCTCCGTCTGGCCGTCCCGACTGGCCCTTTGCCCCGCCTCTCGCTCGACGCATCCACAAGACTCCCCGCCCCCCAGACCTTGCCCCGCCCCGGCTGGGAAGTAGCGGATCCGGTTTGTCCTGGGCGGGTCTGGAAGCCGGGTTGGTGGAGGGAAGGTAGGCAGCCGGATAGGTTGCGGAGGCTGCGGCAGCATGGTGGGTCCGGAGAAGGAGCAGGTACAGCGGCCGGACTCCCGGACTCTGGTTCCCAGAGAGGAGGGTGCTGGAGACCCAGATTCTTGGTTCAGATGAAGGAAGGGGTCGGGGTGGGGGGTCCCGGAGGTTGGGGGTCTCCGGACTCCTGGGTCCTTGGGGACAGATAGGAGGGGGGCTAGGGGAGTCCTGAGGCTGGGGGAGGAAGGCGCTGGGGTCCCGGACTCCTGGGTCCGGGGAAGGGTGCGGGGTGGGTGCTTCCGTGACCGATAGGACTGAGCTGGAGCCCTCCCACCCCTTCTTCCCGTCCTCAGAGCTGGATCCCCAAGATCTTCAAGAAGAAGACGTGCACGACATTCATCGTTGACCCCACAGATGCGGGGTGAGGAGTTCGCCCCTGGGATCGACCCCGGAGCGTCCCCAGAGCTCCCCGGCCCGCTGACCCCGCCCACCTCCTTCCCTCTACACCCCGCCCCGTCCCTGCGGACAATTCCAAGGGCGTGCCCTGGTGGCGCTCTCCCTCGGGAGGGTTTGGGTCCGTGCAGACTCTTCCAGTTTCCCTTTGGTCAGGGTCAGTGTTAAAGCCCTGGGCTTCGTTCTGTTTCTTTCCTTCCCTGTGTCTCTTCTCTGCGTCTTCTTGCGTTACTTTCTTTTTCTCTTTTGGCCGTTTGTTTCATTCATTCATTCATTCATTCATTCATACATCCAAGAAGCCCTCATTCAGTGCTCCCAAGGAAGCATAATTATCAGGAGCACAGGCGCTGCCAGGGTTCAGATGTCACCTGGGACTGGTGCTGTGTGGCTTTGGGTAAATCATTTCACCTCTCTGAGCCTTATCTGTCCCTTGGACATAAAGACAGGCCCTACCTCCTGAGTGGGCATTTATTGAGAGGATTTAAACAAGTACCTGCTTGTGAATTTCTGGAATGGGGCCCAGCACGTGGCTGGCGCTGGAAAATGCCTGCAGTGATCACTGAAAGGAAGCAGTGATCCTGTGTGCAGGCCCCGTGCTCAGGCTCAGTGGCCAGGGATACCTGCATGAGTCCCTTGGGGTGTTTGCCTACCTTGAGGAGCTCCCGGCCTTCAGGGACGGTCTCTCCAGTGGATTCTGGCTTTGAAATTGTTTTCAAGACAATCTTTGGGGCATGGGAAATGTCATCATTCCTAACTTAGTGTGTGCCGTGCACATCGTAGTGCAGTAAGTCTTGCAATGATGTCTAAATAAACAGATGGACGTTATCGGGGGTGAGTGCTCTAAACCTTTTTACTGATGGGGAGTGTGGCCAACGCAGTTGAGGGACCTCCGGTCTGGCGGGAAGAGGACTAAGGCAGAGAGATGGGAGCTCTGAAAGATGGGCAGCTGGGGCCCCGCCCGAGCCCCAAGGAGGGTCTGGCTACGGCTGGGGAGGGACACAGGGTGTCACTGGTGGCTTCTGGAGGAGGGGGGGGCCTCACTAGGTGGCATGTGAAGGATGAGCTGGAGTTTGACAGTTGAAGGCAGCCGGGAGAGAAGAGCGTGGATTCAAAGGCGTGGGAAGAACATGTGCAAAGTTCAAGGTGCTGGAGGCCTCCATGAAGGAGGGCGGGCCAGGACCTTGGCCCTGGGGTGCTGGGGAGCAGTGGGAGGGGCGGGATCAGCTCTGGGTGTGGAAAGAGCCTCTGGGGGTTGTGTGAGGATGAATCAGAGTTCAAGGAGCCTCGGAAGAGGCTGGGCTAGGGTCTGAGTGGGACCGGAAGAGGCCTGAGCCAGGCCACCCCTGTGGGCACACAGGGTGGGGACAGGGACAGGAGCTTGGGGACTGCTGGATTTGAAGAGTAAGAGGGGAGTGGGGGGGAGGATGGCTCCTGGACATCTGGTCTGGGACCTGAGAGACAGTGGGGTTGTCCCCGAGACGGGGAATCCAGGAGGATGAGCGGGTCGTGAATGTTGCCAAGCTTAGCGTGGGTCTTCAGGTGTTAGGGGACTTGGAGGGGACTAGGGGATGCTGCAGACCTGGGTCCGGGACTTCTGTCCAGCATTCGAGAAGTCTTAGTTGTAGACGGTAGCTGAAACTGTGGAAGGAGGTGAAATATCAGGGGGGAGACTGTGTAAAGTCAGGGAAGGTGCACTGGCAACTCTATGACCTTTTTTTTTTCTTTTGCACGGAAGAGTATTTTTATTTTTATTGTTTTTTATCTTTAAAGATTTTATTTATTTGAGAGAGAGAGAGCACAAGCAGGGGCAGGGGCAGAGGGAGAGGGAGAAGCAGACTTCCCACTGAGCAGGGAGCCCGATGCGGGGATCGATCGCAGGACCCTGGGATCATGACCCGAGCCGAAGGCAGACGCTTAACTGACTGAGCCACCCAGGCGCCCCTGGAAGAGTATTTTTAAAAACCTGTCTCTGAATGCCTCAAAACAAACATGCCACCTCACAAGTCACCACAGTCTCCAGCACATCCACAGATTTCCACCTGATGCTTCTTCTTTTTCTTTTAAAGATTTTATTTATGTATTTGAGAGAGAACACCAGCGCGGGGGTGGGGTGGGAAGGGGGAGAAGCAGGCTCCTCGCTGGGCAGGGAGCGGGGCTCAATCCCAGGGCTCTGAGATCATGCCCTGAGCTGAAGGAAAGGCAGATGGTTAACCGACTGAGCCACCCAGGCGCCCCTCCACCTGATGCTTCTTTCCCTTAAATTATTTGCTTGGCCCCTGGGGCATCAAGTTTGAGACCCATGCAGGGAACCCATGTGGTCTGGGGCTCTGGGAACACCTCCACTCGAGGGAGGCACAGAGAAAGAGAAAAGCCACTGATGTGGCAGGGACAAGGCAGCCAGGGGAGCAGCTGTGCCCTGCCAACAGAAGGAAAAGATTTTTTAGCATCAGTCTTTGAGCTGTGACCAGTGCCATTTTGTGATAGTCACACGAGACCTGAATAGAGGCCATTGTGTTTGGGGATATGCTGGTCATTGCTGATCTTATCGGGAACAATTTCAGCTTTAGCGGCCACACAGAGGAAGGAAAGTACGAGGTAAGAAGTGCAGGGCACCTGGGTGGCTCAGTGGGCCAGGAGCCGGGCTGAGTGTATTCTGTTCATCCTGGGTGTGGATTGATGGCCATTCTTTCAGTGTCTTTACAACTTTTAACAAATCCATGTACCACCAGTGGTATTATTCTGTGAAACTGGTCCTTAAGTTAAGGCTCACTCCGCTTACATAAATTCAGGTCTCCTCCACTATCTGAAATCCTTTCTGGAATCAGGGACTAAAGAGACGTAGATACATTTTCAAGTAAATTCTTCATTCCCCAAACCCATGTTGCTTGCTCTTTAAAACTCAGAGGCCCATCACTTGTCCATTTATTTAAGGGATGCGAGGGCTACTTGTACATTTAAGGGGAAAAAAAATTTTGTCTGTGATTACCATAAATGAAAAAACTTCCATTTGCCACAAAGAGAAAGAAGCAAGCCATAAAAGACCATCACAATGAGAAGCAAATGAAAGCACTTCCCTTCTAACTGGACATTGTTGGCAGCCCAATTTTCTGAGCCTGAGGCCAGCTTCTCTCTGTTAAAAAAAAAAAAAAGAGAGTATCGGGGCGCCTGGCTGGCTCAGTTGGTGTGAGCAGACGGCTCTAGATCTCTGGGCCGTGGGTTTGAGCCCCACGTTGGGGGTAGAGGTTACTTAAATAAATAAACTTTAAGAAAGTGCCCAGCGAAGCCTCTCTCCTTGACAGTAATCAGGAGAACTGGAAAAGGCAAAGTTATTTAAAGCTCTGTGTGGCATTGGGCTGGAGTGGTTTCTCCGCCCGAGCCTGGTATGCAGCCCTCATTTCAGATTTCCCTGAAGACGGCTGTGTTACCCTTGTCTTGATCTGAGGAGGAAATGGGGGCTCAGGGAGGTGAAGCCCAAAGTCCCACAGCTGCCCCCGCCTCTGCGTGCTCTCTGAAACGCTCTGGATTTTCCTTTTCGTGGAATCTCGTCTGTTTGGACTGGGGGCAGCCCGGCCGGCCCCTGATGGCTGGTGGCGCTTCTGGAACGCGGGTGCAGTGAGGGCGGGGCCCTGTCCGCCTCCCCGCTCCAGCTTCCTCGAACCCCCGTGGCCCCCTTCCACCCCAGTGAGGGGCAGCGCCAGGGTCAGCACGGGCTATGTGTCTAACTGGGGGCTGGGGGGGCATGCAGAAGTGTGGGCGCTTCTACAGGATCCTTAGGGTCGGGGGAGGGGGGAAACCCCTGGGGTTCATGCTTCCCCCCCCCCCCCCGTCCCCAGAGGAGCCCTGTGCCAGTGCGGGCGTCCCCGGAGCACTCACCCATCAGTGGCTGTGGAGGATGCCTTTGGGGCAGCCGTGGTGACCGTGTGGGACAGTGACTTGCATACCACGGAGAAGCCCACAGACGCCTATGGGGACCTGGATTTCCTGGGCGCCGGCCGCAAGGCCAGCAACGTGAGGCCTGCATGTCTGGGCAGGGCTGGGGTCGGTGAGCGGGGCTGCATGCGCCAGGGGCTCCCCGAGTCAGAGTCTGGGGGTGCTGCAGCTGAATGCTGTCTCCCCATTTGCCCATCCCTGTCTTCCCCTCTCCCCGAATCTCTCTCCCTCCACCCCCGTCTTTTCTAAGTCTGTCCCCTTGTCTCTGGGTCTCTGTCCCCTTCTCCGTCTTTGGCCCTTTCCCCGTGTCCTCTCCTCCTGTGTGTCCACAGTTCCTCCGGCTCTCTGACCGCACGGATCCAGCTACTGTTTATAATCTGGTCACCCACACATGGGGCTTCCGGGCCCCGAACCTGGTGGTGTCAGTGTTGGGGGGGTCAGGGGGCCCCATCCTCCAGACCTGGCTGCAGGACCTGCTGCGACGCGGGCTGGTGCGGGCTGCCCAGAGCACAGGTGACTGAGATTGGGTGGCTGGCTGTGCCCCCTGAGCCCGGGCCCCTGCCCATCTCCCCCACTGCTCTGGGATGTGGTCTCCCCCCAGCTCTGAGGGGGTTTTGGTCTCACTGTCTCTTCTCTCTCTCTGTCCCTACACACCCATGTCTCTGGACCTCACCATCACTCTCTGTGTCTCTCTAGGGGCCTGGATTGTCACCGGGGGGCTGCACAGGGGCATTGGCCGACATGTTGGTGTGGCTGTGCGAGACCACCAGACGGCCAGCACTGGGGGCACCAAGGTGGTAGCCATGGGCATGGCCCCCTGGGGCGTGGTTTGGAATAGAGACACCCTCACCAATGCCAAGGTGGGACCCAGAGTCTTGGAAAAGGAGGGGGCTGGGAATCCTGGGTCTGGGGGCCCGGACCCCTGGGTCTGAGGGAGGAGGTGGCTGGGAGTCTGGACCCCTGAGTCTGAGGGAGGAGGGGCTGGGGCCTGGACCCCTGGGCCTGAGGGAGGAAGGGCTGGGGGCCTGGACCCCTGGGTCTGAGGGAGGAGGGGGCTGGGGGCCTGGACTCCTGGGTCTGAGGGAGGAGGGGCTGGGGGGCCCGAACCCCTGGGTCTGAGGGAGAACAGGGCTGGGGGCCTGGACCCCTGAGTCTGAGGCAGGAGGCGGCTGGGGGCCTGGACCCCTGAGTCTGAGGGAGGAGGTGGCTGGGGGCCTGGACTCCTGGGTCTGAGGGAGGAGGGGCTGGGGGCCTTGGACTCCTGGGCCTGAGAAAGGAGGGGCTGGGGGCTCGAACCCCTGGGTCTGAGGGAGAACAGGGCTGGGGGCCTGGACCCCTGAGTCTGAGGGAGGAGGCGGCTGGCAGTCTGGACCCCTGGGTCTGAGGG